TACTTTATACTCCCTAATCACAAACCGATTGTACAGATATGGACGGAGTTTCTCCATCGCTCTGGGCGGAATATTGGGAGCCCTTCTGGGCGTAATTCGCTCCTTCTCGCCCAACTATGGCTGGTTCCTAGTGTTTGAGTTCCTGGACAACATGACCAGCAGCACGCTGTACTCCACCTGTTTCGTGATCGGGATCGAGCTGGTGGGACCCAAGCGGCGCGTGCTGGCCTGCAGCGTGATTACGGTCTTCTACGCGGTGGGTGAGGTAGCGCTCGCCATGGCAGCCAAGGCGTTCCACAATTGGCGCATCCTACTGCGCATCACCTACGGGCCCTCGCTGATCTTGCTGGCCTACTTTTGGATACTGCCGGAGAGCGTGCGCTGGCTGCTCAGTCAGGGGAAGGAGGAGCGGGCCAAGAATATCCTTCGGCGAGCCGCCCATGTGAACAAGCGCGAACTGCCGGAGAGCGTGCTGGACAAGCTGGTCCTTGCAAATCGGGACAAGTTGGAGCAGTCGGCAGAAAGCCGCTTCCCCATACGCGAGGCCTTCAAGAACTTCAAGTGGCGCATTGCCAATTGCTCCTTCTGTTGGATTGTCCACGTGCTGGTCTACTACGGACTGAGCCTTAATGTTGTGCTGCTGGATGGAGACAAGTACAATAACTTCGCTTACATCGCCCTGGTGGAGATTCCCGGGTTCTTCCTGCCCCTGCTCATCATGGACCGCTTCGGTCGGCGGTACTCTCTCTGCGGACTGATGCTGTCCAGCGGTCTTTGCTGCATCGGGACGATCTTCACCGGCGCGGATCAGCCGGTGCTTCAATTAGTGCTGTTCCTTGTTGGCAAACTGACCATCACTGCCAGCTTTCAGGTGCTCTATTTCTTCGCCTCAGAGATTTATCCCACGAATCTGAGGAACAGCCTGCTTAGCTTCTGCTCCATGATGGGCAGGTTTGGTTCAATGCTGGCCCCACAAACGCCTCTTCTGGTGGGTGCTGAATGTTAAGTGGATCTCCGCTAGTATCTAAGTGTTTCCATTTCCTTTCTCCACAGGCCAAGTATTATGCCAATGCTCCTGCCATGCTATTTGCCGCCGCCGCCATTGTGAGCGGCTTCCTCACTCTGTTTTTCCCAGAGACCACCAATGTTGTTTTGCCCACAACGGTGCAGGAAGCGGACGCCATTGGCGTCAAGAAGCAATCGAAGAGCAAGGATCTCGATCTAGTCGTCACGGCATCTCAAGCGCAGTGATTTTAACGTAATCCTATTTTAGGGCAGTCTGCAACTACAAAGACATTTCTCTACAAATGTGTTATAACTCTAAGAATTCACCATACTATACAAATACAATATTTAGCTTTGACAGAGCACTGTTTTATTAATCAACGGATGGATAATGGTAATGATCAACATTAATACTTAAGCCTAAACTTGGAAAACAAAAAAATAAACAAATTTATGAGTTCCATTACTCGATTTGAAAAAATATACAGAACGCGAAAAACTAAGGGTAACTATTCATTCGAGTCTGTAGAACTCAGAATTGATAATTAACAGCAGAACAAAAAAAAAACCCACTCAATAAGCTATCCAGAGCCTGATTGAGATTTTAATAGCTAGGATCTGTGCAAGCAACAAATTTGTATTGATTTTGCACGATTCTTTGTTTTTGATTATGAGTTGAATATGAAAATGTTTTTATCTTAAGAACTACATTTTTCTGTGGTCTCCTGTACTTATATAGATTCGAACACTAGAAGCGGTCAATGCTGTCTCTAATTGCTTTGGCTGAAGAACTGGGCAATTGTCTTTGATCCACTTGAAGAGGCAGAAATGGTGGAGTTCAGTTTCTTCTGAGTTTGTTTCTTTGGTTGAGCTGGAGATGTTTTTTGCTTGCTTAGAGCCGCGGTTCGAGTTCGCAGATCCTGCTGGTTTAGTTCACGCTGAAGGTTTTTGGCTACGTGGTAGTCCAAGTGTTCCGGCATGTCCACACACTTGATGAAAGCCTTACACTCGGTGCACTGCTGCATATGTGGATCACTGGATTCTTGCTCCTGAGTCGGTTTGGCGCTGAAAAACTTTGTTATGCTATTAGTGGGTGGTGCCGTATTGGAAATGCTACCAGAACTAGCCGTTTTTTTGTTTTTCTTGAGCGGCGTCGGTTTAGGAGACACCTTCTGTCGGCTCTGCGTCCTCTCTTCCCGCTCGTTGCTTCTCAGCGTTCGGCTCAGTTCCTGAGCGAAGTGGTGGTCTCTATGCGTTTGTAGGGACTTAACTTCGTCGGGAATGTTTGCTCCGCACTGATCGCATTTAATAGTAGGCAAAAGTTCGATGCGGAGGTCGGGTACTGCAAACTCTACGTAACTTTCCTTGTAATCATTTCCTGAACTTTCGATCTCATCGAACTTTCTTTTCGACGTTGAAGGCTTCAATTCGTCTTCAGTAAGCGGAAGAGGCTCAAGTCGAGCGGAGTGCTCCATACCAGTTTTAATGTTTACTTCATTCCCTGTTGAATCATTCAAGGTGTTTGGATGCTTTTCTTGCACGGCATCGGGTGGCTGTGTTTCAAGCTTAGACATATGGATATTACCAGTTAACTCCGTCTCCTCTTCAGTATCTTCATCAAAATCTTTTAAGTTGTCAGCCTCAATGGCGTCCAATTCCTCGGCCAGCCCCTGCACATCTAATGAGTCCTCCCCCGATGTCACCGACCCTTGATGTTGTTTTAGATACTGTGAAAAAAAGCTTTTCTTGAGCTCTGGTGGTGTTGATGTGAGAACCGTTCCTTTGGCGGCAGCTTCAGTCCCTGAGGCAGCATGTAGCTTCTCCTTGTACTCCTCTTCGAAACTTTTTTTTGGAACAACCGCAGGGGCAGCAGCCAAGGGATCCACAGAAGTGCCGTCTGGTTTCGCATCCTCTTTTTTGGCCCCTTGCAAATAGTTGGCAAAGAAGCTCTTCATCTTAAATTCCTCCGTTTGCTTCGGCTTCTTTTCCACATGAACTTTTGGGGGTTGCGCTGGCTCCTCTCCGCTGATCCTTCGTTTTTTGGCCGCCTGGTTGGCGAACATCTCCTGCAGCTTGTTTTGCGCACTAGAGACGGTTTCGAACTTGCCGACACTAATGCCAAGGAACTTGATAGCATTGTTTAAAGCAGCCTCGCTGCCAGGACGGAGAAATGTTTTAGTGTTTGCCCTGATTAGGTCTAGAGCAAACCTTACGATGGACTCCTGGTCGTAATCTTTAAGAGCTGTTGAGCGGGAGCTGGCCACCTCCTCGCCGTCAATGTCCTGCACATATTGCACCACCATCTGTTTGGCCCTGCGATTGTTCTCAATAAAGTCCTTCTCAAGACGGTCATTGATCTCGGAGGAAAGCTCGCCAAGCCAATGCTGAAGGGTTTTCAATCCAGTAATGTTATTTCGACCTGGAAACTTTTTACAGCAGCCAATGCTTTTCGAGTAGAAGCGGGGAGTTACGGCTTCCAGGTCTATGCCGCGAGAGATGTTGAATAGCCAGGTGCTGGAATAGGAGGAAATAAGTTACTTCGAACGTGGTATGCTCTTCTTAAGAGACCCACCCATTCTTCTCATCAAACTTGCGCTGCAACTCAACCTCCGTAAACTTGACCACCTGGCCTATGTACTTGATGCCTAATGTCTCACACACCACCTCACCGAATTTGCCGCCTAGCCCCTTGATCTTGCCCACAGGCAAGGAGTCGAAGAGGCTAGCGGTATCCGCCAGCGGCAAAATGGTCTGCTTGTTGGGCTTGTTCATTCCAGCTGCCAACTTGGCCAGTATCTTATTATGCGCTATGCCAGCCGAGCACTCGTATCCTGTCTCTTTTTTTACAGCCGCACGAACTTCACCCGCCACGGAGGCGCCAATAAGCAGACGAATGTCGCTCTGGCGAACGGCGGGAAGGTCGTTTTGGTCGTAGGACATCTGAAAGCGTTCGTCGTCCATGTAGGGGTTGGCGAAGCGGTTTGTTATCTTGTTGACGTAGTCGCCAATGTTGGGGTAGCCCACGGCAAAGGTGTTCACCAGCTCCTGCGGTTGCAGAGCAAAGGCTCCCTGCAACGAATGAAGGAATAAGGAAATGCTTTTAAACTGTGGGCTAGAGCTTACAATCTGCATCTGTTGCATGCGATGGTTAACGGTCTCCGTTATGTCCAAGTACGCCTCATCTACGGAAGCGCGCTCGAGGAGCTGCGTAAACCGCTGGAGCACGTTGGCCACCTCCTTGCCGGCATCGCGGTACTTGCTGGTGTCGGCCTTCTCCCGGATATTTGGCACCTGGCAAAGAACGATCTCCGGACACAGGTCCTTCGCCTCGTCGCCGCGCATGTGTCGAGTGACTCCCTTGGCACGAGCCGCGTAGTTCACCGCGATGATGCCGCCGCCACGCCAGGGATTGTACTGTACGACGGCCAGAGGACGGTTGCGATACTCTGGACGCTGCTTCTCCTCCACCTGGCAGAAGAAGCAGTCCATGTCCACCAACAGGACCACGCGGTCGTACTTGCTCTGCATGCTGACATGGCTGCGTGCAGTGGTCATGGTTTCATTTCGTATTATTGCGCGAATTTAATGCGCGCCTGGAGTGTGGCCGTGGCTGGGACTTCTAAAAATGCCGATTAGATGCATTTAAATACTAGATACACTAAATTGAGTAAACATATATTGTGGAAGAAAGTTTATTGAATTTCCCATATCCAAACTTATGAATACATGAATGACAAAAAAATGTAATTGATAACAAATGCTTAAGAAGCTAAATAGTCCATTTCCAAGCAGCTGTGAATTTTGGTTTCAATTCCTTGATTTAAATCATTCCTTAGTAAGAAATTCCTTAATAATAGTGGAATATTATGCCTTTAAAGCCTCTCTTATTACTAAACTTTACACACTTTAGATATACAAAATTAAAGGGTATTAAATAATTTTCACTGTTTTGAATGGTTGTTTGTTGTCAAGTGTAGTCTGTAAAATACTCATCCCAACCTAATCCACACATCACAATATTTTCCTGAGAACAAAACTTGGTCACACTATATTGGATATTTTTAAGTTTGTTGTTTGTCACTCGGTAAAAATATAAACAAACGAATGAATATTAAAATGTGCGGTCCGGCGAAGAGTATTATTTACGCGGCATAACTACCGCCTATTACAAATTAACACAAATCGCTAAAACATCTACGCCGAAGCGGTAAAAGAATGAGTTTAAAAAATCCTTAAACCCTGTATATTCTGTTTTCTTGTATGAAATATGAAAACCAGTATATAAGACATTGCCAAAGTGTAAATTATTAGCCAAGTTTCTAGTGCAGCTAACAAAATTCTTGGGTATTGATTTTTTTCCTAAAAGCCGCTGCTGAAATGCATTTGACACACACACACACATATTTTAGTTACTTCCCTTCCCTGGCAAACATTTCCCCATCCTGGATTTTTCATTTCCTAAGTTCATTTGGGTTAATGCACGGATTACGGCCGCGGAATTTATTGATTCGACTGAGCGACCAGAACCAACCTTGTGTGGCGCTCTATTTTCGGGTACCCCGCTTCAGTGTTCCGCCTCCTTGCCGGCTGTTTTGATTGATGCGCCGAGTGTATGTCCAGCGTATGTTCAATGGCTTAATTAGGCTAACTCACGTATAGCTACTCGGAATCGGGGTTGGGATCCGGGCCCACTTTAATGCCAGTGGAATGCGGTGGTAGTGGGCGGCGGAAATCAGGAAGGGCGTGTTCTTGTATACTGTCGTGACCTAATTTCGTGTCTGTTTACATTATGGACACCGCAGGACTTCCAGCTGAAGTGAAAGGTGCAGCACTGACCTATTGCGAACTTGATGGCGCCACATAATCCTTTAAGAAAGGTGACATGTTTTGATTTTATTTTATTATTTCTTATTTATTATTAATTTTGATTTCTTGTATCCGGTGCATTTCAAATGCTACAATCGATTTCCTTGAAATTGGCAAGAAACCCATTTATGGGCGTGACAGCTTTTTCTGCATCTGCTTATCTAGATGAAAACGTTCATTTGAGCAGATGGCCAGATCCACTCGGCACGTAATGCTGCTCAAAATTATGTGTACTTTATAGAGTAACGATTATAACCATATTTTCTCCCTAAGTCTACGGTGACCGAAATTAATATTACTATTTACAAGTTGTGATATTTTTAGATTTGCAGTGCGAATGATATTTAATGTATTTATCATAGTTCTAATTATTTCTTCAGTAGTTGCGATGAGGTGTGAATTGTTAGGAAACTAATTAATAATAGCGTAATTAATACAACTTTTGCGGTTAAATCGCTGCGAGAAATATTAATAAAAGATTTAAATTTGAACGTGACTGTATCTGCAATCCCGAAATATCGTTGTGCGCCCCAGTGGTGCATCCCAAAATAGTCTACTGCTAATTCTAGTTAAATTTTACTGCTTAACTCTTTAGAAGGCCTATCCTTAGCTCTAGCCCGTATGCGCTAGACTTAGCCCTCATTCACTCATCCACTCTTCCGATCCCTGACCCCAGCATAAGCGCACAATTATGCTAATGGTTCACATGACCAAACAAGAACCACTTGAGCCCCGCTAAGCGGTTCGCCAATCCACTGTCATTCGGACTTCTCCCTTTCTCTGTCCCACTCTCAGTCAGAGAATTCTCTGCTCTAGTGGCTCATTTACGGTGAGACCATCAGTCTGTGTACGTCCGGCGATGAAGTCACTCCACTAAGCTGAGGGCGTTGTTCGCAATTCTTGAGTGTTGAAAGAATTCCTTGTCGTTTTTGTAGTGAGCCACCATGGTGAAGATCCTGCAGGCCTACAACTTTGCCAGGCAGCAGACGTATGCCCTTAATGGGGACATCCTGGCGGCCAGCCTGATCGGGAACAACCGCATAGCCATCAGCAGTGCGGAACAGTTCATCGAGATCTACGACATAGGTGCCAATCAGGCCCAGTCTGAGGACTCCAGGAGAACGGCTTCGGACGATGTAGGACAATCAAATGAGACGGCAGGAGAATCCACCACCGCTGGTGATGAGAGAACACCGAGCAGGAGTACGCTGGCTACGGTGGGCGAAGTGGTGCAACTTATTTACTGTGAAGCTGGTGAGTAACTATCAATATCTCTCCAAAAATCAACTAAAGCTGAATCTTCACCTAGGCAAATACCTTCTTACTCTTGAAAAGGAACAGGCAGGCAGTCCGGTGCACTCCTCCTCCACCATTAGTTGCACATCGAGCAGCAACAGCAATACAGTCTGCTCCGAGGATGACACGAAGATGTTCGTACGCATCTACGCCAACTTCTGGAAGTTCCCGGACAGTCGGCTTAACGAGCTGCCCATTACGATCCGAATAGCTTCGATGACCACGCCCAAGACGCCGTTGGTGGAGAGCATCGATGTGATTGAGCTCCCGTTGCGCAGTCCGCCTGAGCTGGTGCAGTGCTGCCAGACATCGGGTAACATCATCGTCAGCAGTCGTGACAGGATTTACCTCTACGAATACACCCAGTGCGTTCATGAGAACACGCAGCCTAGGTTTGCTTTCATCGACTTTCTGCCCTTTAAGTTCTTCGTGCAACTAAACTTCGTCCCAGTGCGTCTGTGTCTAGCGGAGAACGTAATCGCCTGTCTCAGTCATCGCTACTGCGTAGCCTTCAAGGTGGTGGATGCACTCACTAGCAGAGCCAGTGGAGGGCAGGATGTGAGCTGTCTGGACAACGACTACGGTGGCGGAGACGAACAGCTCTCGGAATCCCTAAGCTTGGGCAGTAAGGTTAGTGCCAGCGGTGCAGGTGGTGGCGTAGTTAGTTCCAGTCAGCAGAGCTGCGAGAGCGACTCACTGCAATCGACGAGCAGTGCGAAAGCACAGGTTGTCATGAATGGTGCCTTGCCTGGACGGTCACCGTTAGACTTTAACGTGGCCAAGCTAGTTAACAATGCGTACGGCAGGGAATTTGAACCGGAATTGCGATCTCAGTGGGACGAGACTACAGACTACGGAGCAGGAAAGAGTCAGGATGACAACCAAGATATCACAATCAGCCCTCAGCGCGCTGCAGACATTAAAATCAAGCTCGTGAACGAGGCCAAGGCAATGAAAGTGAGGGGCATAGCCGGGAGCAGTCATCTGGATGATGCGTCGGTGCAATATGATGTGCGCAAGCTGTTGCAGATCTGTATGAAGACCTCGGAGAATCAACCGCGTGTTCTGGACATATTTCGCTGCATGGATCTCAAGGCCATTTACCAAAGGAACAGCCAGGAAGTAGACCAGGAAGACGATGAGTATGACATGGGCAACCAACAGGTGCCCAGTGCGGTGACCACCTTTAAGCACGTGAACCGTCGGACACTCAAGTCCTCGCAGCATCAGAGGTGCATAGGACACGCCCTCCTCGTGGCCAGTAGTGTGGACGGCTTCCTGTACCAGTTCTCCGCGCAAGGGAAGTGGTATAGTGAGAACGAAAAGCCTGTAGCCAGCTATAGCTTCACGGCGCCTGTTATCCAGGTCCAAATCAACGACTATGTCGTGTATGCAGTAACCACAGAGTCTGTCGAAACGCACACCTCACGGATTGGTCACAAGCTCTTTCACAATCGCTTCGAATACCCTTCGATTGGCGGTCTGTTCCCCGAGGAGTCCGCTCCGGATGTGAATTCCCCCATCGCCGTTGTGGGGCTGGCAGCGTTTATGCATGTTCAGTTCGTTTGTGTGAACCGAGAGCAGCTCGTGCTCATCACGAATGCAGCTCTGGAGCAGCACAAGCGGCGAAGCATGAGTGAGGTGCCTGGCACTCAAGTAGTAGCTGTCAAAAGAAACATTGCCGCACGCCTACTGGCCGAAGCGAAGGCGAAACACAATAGTCTGCTGAGGAGCAGCAGTGCAGTCCAATCCTCAACGGTGGCCAATGAGTGGACGCTGTACAATCTAGAGGTACCTCGAGTGGAGTGCATCATAGAGGATCTTGAGGGCATTGCGGAATCGTATCGCAGTGCAAGCAGCTCTAACTTTTACGATCTCATGGAGGAGGCACATGTCATGCTGCGATTAAGTCTCACATTGCAGGGCGAGCGCATGGGAGCGGAGCGGGAGCAGCACCTTCGGAAAATGTTCATGGCAAACTGCAGAAAACTGGCGGATTTCTCAATACGGTATGGAACCTTAAACGTTTTAAAAAATTTGTTGCTTACAACCTGGTTTTAACTGCAAGGGTTATATATATCTATGTATATTCTTGATCAGGATTACTAGCCGAGTCCATCTGAGCATGTCCGTCTGTCTGTCCACAAACCGCCCTAAATTTGAAAACTCGTTTAAACCCTAAACTCGTTTGAAAAAGTTTTCGATTTTTTTTTTATTATATAAATATTTGTTGATTTTGAAGTTTATACCATTTAAAGTATATACATACGTATATTCTCGATCAGTATCACCTGCTGAGTCAATCTGGCCATGTCCGTCTCTCCATCCCTGAGATCCCCAAAGAAAACTGCTGTCCCGTCGACCATTTTCGAAAATGTTTTGATTATTTTTCGATTTTATTATTTTTCTTCCAAACTACTACGATATGCTAAAAAAAACTTTGATAGCAACTCGACCCTTGCTTAGACTTAACATCTTATATATACAAATATATACAAATATTTTGAGCTTAGCCTTTGTTTAATAGAAATAAAAGCTTTGTCTGTTATAAAGCTATATTCATCATACATAACATCCAACTTCAAACAGCTCAAACAAACAGGAAGTATATCTCCAGGCTACAGGGTTCTACAGAATGTGTCAGCTTCATCTTGTAGATATTTTTAATAACTACGTGCAGAATTTTATGGACAGCGAGGAAAGCGCGAACCCACCTGAGCTCTCGGGTCTGATCTACACAGTTAAGCTGTTCCTGCTTTGCCTGGGAACAGATCGTTTGAAGTCGGCCTTTTTGAACCAGACAGTTCGTCCGTATTTTACGCCGGCTAGGGTGATCCAACAAGGTTACAAGCAGGTTCCAATTTCGCTGGAGTTCCTTAACATGTTCATCAAACATGCACCTTCGGAAATCCCACAGATAATGCTAGTTTCACCTGTTGTGGCGGACTCCATTAGTGGGGAGTTGATTAACTACCTAAAATACTTGGACAACCTGTAAGTTTACTTTTTTCTGTAAAATATAAATCTTATATGTTAATATAATTAAATATATTTACTAATTAGTTCCCCCGATGAAAATCTTCTGCTGGCTGTGACTGCTTGCCGTATGTCCAACTATTTGCTGGCTCAGGAGGTAGTTTCAAAGTCCACGCGACGCACCCTAGCCACTGCTTTAATACGGCACAAGAACGTTCTGTTTGACGACAGTACTGTGATCTATCAGCGACGCCATCAACAGCAAGCTGACTGCCAGGCATCAAGCTTGCGAGCTAGAAAAAGCCGGCGGTTGGGGGCGAAAAGCAAACCAGCTCCGGTCGGAACGCCAGCTCCGAGTACCATAGTATCCTTCTCGGACTTCTGTGAGACGATTCTGTTGGCCAACGAGCAGCCAGCACTGCTCGAAGCTATTAGTGATGCCTTCATCCATGCGCTTTGCATCGAGCACAGCATGACGCTGGACGTGATTCTGCAGCTCTTTCTGAACTACATCGCCTCGCACATCGGCCAAAAGGGATACCAGACCTCTCAGAAGGTGTTCGTAAACATTCTGCAAGTGTACTTCTATGATCTCTACGATGTAAGCTCGTCTTCGCAACCCCACGAGATTCGTTCGCAAACACCGCCTCAACTGGACGACGATTACGACGAGGAGTGTAGCAGTTCGCGGGCTCCCTCGCTGCACAGCGAGGCGGATGCCCAGTCACTGTCCAGCTCTTGCGCCAGTTCGGCGCACGAGGAGCGATCGGCGAGCCTGTCGATCAGTGGCAGGCAGCAGCGAATCGTCTACGACCAGCTGCAGGAGCAGCAGTCCTCGCCTTTTCAGAAGCGCAATTCAAATGCCTCGCTCTCACAGCCCCAGGCTGATGACGATGTGGTTGCAACTAATCTCAAGGGTCTCAAGATCCTGTTTCGAATGTACATGGGACGGCTAAAGGCTCTAAGTGATCTCATCACAGATCTGCAATCAGCGGACGTCGAGCAACAAACCAGTCGCGAGGAGTTTATGAACCTGCGCATGGAATGCATTTCGTACATGGTGGGAATGGCACCCAATTACAGCCCAAAACCGGTTGTAAGGAATCCCAATGATCCGATGGCCGGCAAGCTTATTTATGTGCCCTTTATTCCGGACTATAAGCTGCCTGAGGGAGAGGAGTATGATCGCCACATCAAGGGATACATTCGCCCAATTCCCTGCTTGTTGGAGCGACCGCAGTATCTAAACCGCCTCCTGCCTTTCGAACGTAGCGACTTTAGCTATCCGAACAAGGACGACGGAGAGTTCGAGGTGCGCTTCCTTAGCTGGAATAACGAGCTGCTGACACTCACCCTGAAGATACAGAGTCTGTTAGCTTCTACCAAGGTGGATCGTGAGATCGTCTCGGAGTTTCTCGCCTTCATACAAAAGACGCCCACTTTAATCGGCATAGACAGTTTTCTGGTAATCGTGTTGCCCAAGAACTTGGCGATAAACTACCTACTTAGTTTCTGTCCCGCCTTTTTGTGGCAGTATGGAAAGGTAATGCTCACGATCTTGAAAATTATGCTTTATTTAAATAATAAAACTTTATTATTTACATTAAAAATATAAGGCACAGTATTACGCCATTTCGGTATAACCAGAACAGTTCTCGATAAATCAACTTAAATTAGACCTATATGTAAATATTTCTTTTATAATTGTTTGTTGTTAACTTGCAGTCTTGCGGGTTCGCGCCAAAGCATTGGGAGAGTCTCTTACGGAAAATACTCAGCAAGCAGGAGGCGCTGCCAAATTGGAAGGCACATATCACGGGTTTGTATCTGCTACAATCTTAAACTACATACTTAATACATCGGGTTACAATTTTGCAGAGATTTTAAACAATCTTGTGGCTGAGCTGAGCTTTGAAGAACTTTTGCAATGCTTTCCCAGCGAAGCGATTCAAAATCGCAACACCGCACAGTATTTCGCCACGGAATTTGCCGAGACATGTATCTTGTATGAAAACGAGGAGCTTGTCTTTAAGAATCCTGATCGAAAGGAGGGACATAGGGATCACATGCCGATGGATAACATAGACGAGGACAATGTGTTTGAGTTAACGCTACGCAAGGCGGTTGCCAAGCAGCGGAGTATTGCCCTGAGGTCCATGATTGAGTCCACAGGAACCCAGCTGTTCGACGCCACTAGTAATCCCATGTATAACCTGTAGGCGATCTGCATTCCTCGTTAAACTAGTGTAACCCAAAATTATCATATTGAAAACCGATGAGATTGATACTAATGTAGCAAAGTAGTCAACTCAGAAAGCTTTTCTATTACGCCACAGATTGATCGAAATGTATTTTGTAATTTTAGGGCGCACCCATTTGAGGCGGTATTTATTGACAATTATGTTTAAAACAAAACACAAAATTCGAATACTCCAGCTATCGCTGATTTATGGAGCTGAGCTGAGCTTAAGGATAAAAACTCCTGAGCTGTAGGTTGTAAAATAACTAGCTCGTCGCGCACTTATGCTGTAGTTGCCATATGTAACCAGATCTACGATAGATTCTTGTCAGAACTTTCTTTATGCCTGCATTTGTACTTGTACTTATCCGAGATTCCTTTGAACTTTGTTTTAAAGCCTAAAGTATTTGTAACCTATTAAAAAATTAGTTATCTTGTCCCCTTATTTGCCCACATCCAAACACACTTTTACGACAAAAACAAGGTCAAGTGATATTTTGAATGCTTTCATTGAATCTGAATCATAATTATATTACAATGGCCGTACTTTTTCCCTGATAAGCAAAAGTTAATTCACCTGACAGCATTAAAATATGGCTGCATTAGAGCCGTTTATAGATACTACTTATTCCGGCAATTAATTAAGGTAACTAAACGGCGAAAAAGCGTCAGGGGAACTGCTTGCGGACAGATTTCTCCGCCTTGAAAATACTTAGCCAATACTTAGGCTTCCCACGCCGGACTCAGCATGCTAGAGCTCAACCAACAGGAGGTGGTTCCGGAGAAGCCTATATCCCAGTCTATAGCCATAGACCCAACGAATACGTCGGATGAGAACAAGCTGGACGCAATCTTTTTACGGATCTTTTCTAGCCTTCAACTTCCTCCATTGCCTACGTCTTCCCCGCTCCATATGTGACCCATAGGTGGGTTAGTCAAATTGTTCTGGGGTGCTCTTTTTCGTCGAACATTCCTCATAGATGCAACATGACGCTGTGCGATGCATTGGACTCCAGGTATGAAGAACAATTCCCAAATTTCACCATTCCCCAGCGCCACGGGAACTGGGTTCAGTGTGAGCAGTACGCCTCGACGGATGAACGACCTCGCGGATGAACCTTCGGCCAATGGCAGTAGCTTTGATGTGGTCAGCGAGTCTCCTGCGATGCTGGCTATAAGCTGAGGGACGACGAAGAATTAGGTGGTTTTCAAGGTGCCTTCAAGTGATTTCGATCTAAATTATATTACAGCAGTTTAGTTTGTTCTGCGCTGACTGTCAGGAAACTGTCAAAGGTGGGAACAGAAATAAATTTGGTACAGTTTATGGGAATACCATTAGGGGGTTATCTCTCCGATCGGTAAGATTAAGGCAAAAATCTCTTGTTTAAGGAGCCCGTGGTTAAGTAATATTATTGGGTCCACTTTTATTTGTAACCCTTCTAAAAAGTATTTTATATCCATTTTTGACGGGGTTTGTGGGGGCTAAGTGGGAAACTTTTTTTTTAGCAAATCCATAGAAATTTACATTTAATTTAATGAAAAAAAATATGAAATTGGAGTGGTCGTGGTAACATTTGGAAACAAACTTCGTTTATATCTCTGGAAGCTGCATGCTCAACCTCAACATTCTAGCTCATGCAGTTCCTGAGATCGAGGCGTTCATACGGACTCACTCTTCCCCACCGCCCTTCTTCTCGCCGTGGAGCTAATTGGCCCCAATGATCAGCCTGACCTACGGCCTGGCAGAGGCCCATGCGGGCTACATGGCCAAGTATCTGCCCGACTGGGGTGCCCTCCTACGGGTGCTATATACCCCAGCTCTGCTTCATCCAATTTTATTTGCGTTCTGCCGGAGAGCGTGCGCTGGCTGCTCAGATAGACCACATACGAAGGTCTATATACTACTAAACAGAAAACCACTGTCGGAGCATCAGCTGAACGAACTGATCTTCCCGAACCGCCGACTGGTAGCCCAGTCTTCCGCAACCGGGGGTCACTACAATTTCCGTCAGATCTGTCAGGTTTTGGGCTGTCGCACCGCCCTGTGCTGCTTCGTGTGGTTCACCCTCACCCTGGTCGCCCTGGGTCTGAGCCTGCCCAGCTGAGTGGGAGCAATTCCGAGAACTTCAGCGTGGCTGGGCTCATGCAGCTGCCTGGTATCCTGATGGCCACCGCACTTATGAACTGGATAGGACGGCGACGGGCGTCCTTCTCCTTGAGTGGCTGCAACGGATGTTTGCTGGATTACTATACCATGTCACCTCTTCAGCACTGTACTCCCTTGCCAAAATAACGTCCACAGGCGGCTTTGTGATCCTGTACTTCTTCACCTCGGAGATCTTCCCCACGAGCTGCAGGAACTGCATGCTCTCCTGCTTTGCCTCCATGCTGTCCCCCAGACCACTCTACTGGTAAGTAACACTTTGATTAGAAGTAAATATACATTGTAGTTTTTCTTTACCAGCATACATATTATACATACATGCAAATCAGGATTTCGCAATAAATTACTAAGTAATAAAAAACTTACTAAAATTATAATATAATAAGTAAAACGACAGTGGTGAGGGGTACGTTCAAATTGTACTCAGTACTAAATCATATATTTGACAAAAGATTATAATAAAAAACTCAATTTGTAAGCGAGATGCTTAAGGTTGTGCAAGCAGTTTTAATGCACACCTAAATCTGTCAATTTATCTTGGAAGCAAAAAACAAAGAGTAAAGTCCGTTAGTGCATGGAAAATACAGCAGAGACCACAAAAGTAAAGCGCAGTTAAGAAATTAAATCGGTTAAATGTGCTTAATGATAGTAATTTGGAAACCAGGTCTCAGCCGAAAAAATGTAATGTTGATTATTACCGCAAAAAGCAAGCGGAATAATAAGAATTAATGCGTAAATCGATGTATCGATGTAAAAAAATGTACATACATAATAATAGTAATTTCCCAAAGTCAACATTAAAGACAGACTATTCCCTTGTAAATATAGATAATCGCCATAGAAAAGGACTTAAGAAACAGACCGTCTTTCCCACAATTTAAACAAAATTACCCGTAAACAAGAAAGGAAGTTAGCTTTGTTAAGCCGAAACCCAAATATCTTTGCAGTAATTATACTTTTAAGAAAAACCTATGACAGCCTTATGACATAGTGTATGTAAAAAAAAATGCAGAATAATAATTTCCCAAAATCAATATATAAGACAGACTATTCCCTTCTAAATAGCCATAGAAAAGGACTTAGGGAAAGGACCGACTTTCCCACAATTTGAAGGAAAATATGGCATAGTAGTTCGATTTTTATCAAATTAAAATTAAAATGAAAATCAAAATAAAAAGAATTATAATGTTTCAAACTGATGTACACCATGTTGGAACACTTAATGATCAAAAACAACTAAGCAATGCTTTTTTTTTAATTTGGTAGTCATTTTTCGACTGTAATACCGATTTACGTACTATTAATCAACATCCAAGAATTGGAACTTCAGCGTTATTATAATTAATAAATGAACACATATTTGTAGATAAAAATATCAAACACATGTGCGTACATATTAATCGATGGTTATCAAATGTGGTATTGCGAAGGTCAATGGGCTTAACAAAATAAACTTTTGCTCAGATTGAGTACTTGTGTATCTACACGATTCCGTTTGGCATCGGGGCTTATCAGCTGGATGAACAGTCGTTCTGCGAGATATTACCGATTTATGGCGGCATTCAGAAGGCTTGTGTCATACATCATACATCTATCAAGCAATTACAGCGCGCCAATAATTCACGAGCTCCCACTTACTGTGGCTTCATTGAAACTTATCATTGATTTATCAATCTGGTCGGAAACCGGCCGATCGACTGGGGATACAGTTCCCGTTCCCCCACCTAATCATCGCATGGTCGGGCAGAGCAGGCAAGTGTAAAGTGAGGGCAAACAGACACCAAAGTCAATGACATGGCACAAATAGCGTAAGATAGAGCTTGTTGACCCAGTGGAGCAATCAGCTAACAGCTGGCCAGCTGACAGCTAACAGCTAACAGCACAAGCCACTACCAGACACCAAGTCTCGTCGTCTGAGAGATAAACGATAGCTGCGAAACCATTATTATCTATATCCACAACTTAGCGCGTTCGGATAATAGTAGTAATACTCGAAGTTCTCCCATCGTCGCACACAGCCACATGCCTGTAGTTTCGGATTTGGGGCCTGATAAGAGCCCGATAAGAAGGAAATATGGAGAAGAGCAGACGGGTTAAAAATAGAAAACCGAGTGCGGCCACAATCGAAAGAAATCATTCTTTGACTGGCACTGCTCCGAGCAAGACGCTCCAGAGAGTCTAAAAATAAGCGCCAACGCTAGCGAGGCGGAAAGATCGCGGGACGCGAGTTATAAAACAACGATTAGAAGGAGTGCATCCACCACGTGGCTGGCGGGCAATTAAGTGTAGTGATATAGTACTCAGACATTATGACCAGCCAGACGGAGGGAAATGGAAGCAAGCCGACCGATTCCACGACCAATGGACATTCGGACGCGGAGGCGGCGAAGCAGGGGGCTGGTGGGGATGAGGACAACTCGCTGGACGCGATTCTGGTGCGGATTGGCCAGTTCGGGCGCTACCAGATTATCAACTATGTGCTGCTCTGCGTTCCCATGCTCTTCAACGCGTTCTTCTCCATCTCCTATGTTTTCACGGCGAGCACAGTGGTACACAGGTGGGCAAAAAGTGCATTAAATGGAATGGCTGATCAAGATCTCCAATTTCCCATGTGTTCCAGGTGCACTGTTCCGCAGTGCGACAGTCCCAGCAGTGTCTATAAGGAGGACTGGCTCGGCTTCACCATCCCCTACAAGAACTCCGCCTGGGATGCCTGTCATCGGTACGCCGCCAACCTGTCTGGGACTATCTCGGAATACACCGACCCGTCTGGAAAGTACTGCCTCCAGGAGTATTTCACCGATACGTCGGAGACCTGTGGACGCGACTTCAAGTTCAGGGACGAGGAGAAGACCATATCAACGGAGGTGGGTAGTTAAGTATAAGTATATTTATTTTGATAACAAGTTGGTGGGTTATGTTCAAGCCTAAAACGAAAATTGCTGGATTGTGCATTTGCAAATTACTTGCTAGGTTACTTACTCTATATACCCAAATAAACACGTATAATAAATGTACGTGAAAGCATTTGCGGTCTGAGAATGAAAGGTATTTAATGTAAAGTTTTAAAGCAATCAGACTAACATATGAAGAATTTGTTACCTTGGTTCAAATTTTTAAGATCAAGTTTTGCTTAAAATATTGTTTTTCTTCTATTTAATTCAAACATATATATATATATATATATATATATATATATATATATATATATATATATATATAAGTATATATAACTTTCCACTGATTTTATAAGTCCACATATTTAACAAATCGTATCTTGGCTGGTCCTTATTTGACATATGTACATATGAATTTAATATTTAAAGCTAATGACTGATAAAGTAACAATATCTGCATCCCATCTCCAAAGTTTGGTATATACTGTGAGGACGAGTGGATGCTCTCCATGGTTGGCACTGTAAACAACGTGGGCCAGTTCGTGGGCATACCCCTAGGAGGATACTTTGCGGATCGGTAGTCCCTGTTTGGTAAGAGTATGTGCAGACTAATAGCATCTACATCTACCCCAGATACGGACGACGCACAATGCTGGCTGTAGCCGGATCCCTGAGTGCTCTAATGGGCGTGATCCGTTCGCTGTCGACCAACTACTCCATGTTCGTGGTGTTCGAGTTCCTGGACATGGTCGTGGGCAGCACCCTCTTCCCCACCGCCTTTCTGCTGGCAATCGAGCTGGTTGGGCCCAAGAGGCGAGTGGCTGCGGCCACCATAATCACTATCTTCTACGCGCTGGGCGAGGCCTTCCTCGGATTCCTGGCTTCCCAGTTTCAGCACTGGCGCTGGCTGCTCCGGGTGCTTTACGCTCCGGCTGTGCTGCAGATCCTCTTTCTGTGGATCTTGCCGGAGAGCGTCCGCTGGCTCCTGAGTCAGGGTGCCGAGGAGAAGGCGTCCAATGTGCTGCGGCGGGCGGCGCGGATCAACAAGCGGCCCTTGCCGGAGGAGCAGTTGCAGGATCTCTTGGCTAGCAATCGACAGAAGCTGAGCCAGGCCAACGAGAGCCAGTATCCAATAATGCGAGCCGTGCCCTTCTTCGCGCTGCGGATAGCCAACTGTTGCCTCTGCTGGTTCACGCACACACTGATCGCCTTGGGTCTTAGCCTGAACTCTGTTAACCTGGCCGGCAACAAGTACACCAACTTCATGCTGAACGGTTTCATCCAGATACCTGGCCTCTTGCTCCCGCTGATCATCATGGACCGCGTGGGCAGGCGCTACTCCCTCTGCGCCTCGATGCTGCTCTGTGCCATTTGCATGGGTGCTTCTGCCGCAGTGCCAGCAGGTAAGGCAACCTGCAACCAGATAATAGTTCTCCGGAATATAATCAATCTTCCATTAGATAACCACGCGGGCTTTCTGACCCTCTTCCTAATTGGAAAGCTGGCCATCACCTGCAGCTTCCAGATCTTGTACTTCTTCACCTCGGAGATCTTTCCCACCAACGTGCGAAACACCCTGTTGTCCCTCTGCTCCATGGTGGGACGCATCGGATCCATGCTGGCCCCACAAACCCCCCTATTGGTTAGAACCGACTTACCTATCCATGATCGCACAGCTAATCCCGGCCTTGTTCCTTCCAGGCCAAGTACTACATATACGCCCCGCAGATCCTGTTCGCCACCTTCGCCCTGGTCAGCGGCTTCCTGACCCTGGCCTTTCCCGAGACGGCGGACAAGGTGCTTCCAACGACCATCGACGAGGCACGCGATCTGAGTAAGGCCAAGCGACGTGGTGAGGCGTCGTGATATCCGTCATATTGATGAGCAGCTTTAGCATCGTTTTTAAAGTCGTAGATATATGTTTTTGTTTTGCTTGTTTATTTTATTTTATACATATGTACATCGTTTTTCACAAATTTTACTTACATATATGTAGTTTTAGCTTCATTGTGATCTTTGTCGGTCAAGCAATTATTTTTTAAGTAATAAAATGGATTTCCACTCGGATCTGAGAAGCGTAGCGTAATATACTTGAAGCCAATGAAGTAAAGGGTGTGTTCAATTTAAAAAAGAAAATATTCAATTTAAGAACTCATGAAGCAAATTTACATAAATATGTAGGTATAAATAGACTTCTACATGGGCTATGGCGCCCCCATACGGTAGGTGGCTGTACTTTTTCTACTAGAATCTAATATCGATAAGTATCGAGCACACAAGTGTAGAAATCGGGATGGCACTCAAAAATACCTTCTCTTGCCCCAAAAGTTCGTTATTTTCAAATTGCCTTATAGGTTTGATTGATTGCCGTGTTTTTTATATATATGTATATTCTTTAAATAAAAGGCAATATTTATTAAAAGATATTGTAAGATCAAGGTGTTATTGGTTAGAAATTTCTGAGCCTAGATTTTTAACCTTTTCTGCTTTTGGTAGGAAAACTATGATTTCGAAATCAGGTGAGTCGTATAGATGTCTCGGGGAACAAAAGATACAGAAAACGTATATATTTCGTGAAACTTTGTTTCAGAAGTTGGAGCCAGACGGTGTATTGGGACTGATAAGGTTTTTTTTAAATTTATTTATATTAGTTTGGTATGTAAAAATATTCTCCTGGATTTTTTAAAGATCACGCTGGATGCCATGATGTTTAAGTAAATAATTTTGCAGTTCAATTCCACCTTGAGATTAATTAATTGTTTCATTTAAAAGCATTTTAGTAATACTCGTTCAGATTCACGCAACTTTGATAATCGGCGGCTGTTCTCGAAATTACACACTTATGCCAATTTGTAGGCGTTAAAAATATGCTAGACAAGTAATAAAATACAAAAAAGGAAAATATCTTTCAAAATTGGCGTGACAACTCGGGCGGTAAGTGGGTGTGGCAAAAATATTTTTGTCAAAATCGGTAGAAACTAGCAGGACTAACGATGAAATAATTGCTTAATATCAACTTTTTAGCTATACATATATAAATCATCCTAAAAAAAAATTTGTTTTTGTAGGGTTGGAAACTCATTGGGAACGGGTAGAACCGTTCCATTATTTTCAACAAAATACTTTTCTCTACAAGTAATGGGTACCAAAATGTACTGACTAAGAAAAAATGAGTAAAGCACGATTCTACAAATCGTTGGGGATAATTTAATCTACCAATTTGTTTTTTGGTTTCATTCTCATCCTAAGACAAATAATACATACAAAAGCAAAGCCGCTTTGATTTGGTGATGAGGGATATAATAAACGATCAATGAATTTTAAGAAAGGTACCTTTTCTAAATACATACCTTTGGAATATACAGAAATATTCAAAATCTCATATTAAGCATTATTTTGTAATTTTTATACCCGTTACTCTTAAAATTAAAGGGTATACTAGATTCTTCGAAAAGTATATTATGTAACAAGTAGAAGGAAGCGTTTCCGATCATATAAAGTATATATATTCTTGATCAGGATCTATAGCGGGGTCGATCTGGCAATGTCGGTCTGTCCGTATGAACGTCGGGATCTTAGGATCTATAAAATGTAGAAAGTTTCGTATAAGCATGCAGATTCCAGAGATTCCAGAGATTCCAGATTCCATTCTAACGCCCACAAACCGCCCAAAACTGCCACGCCCACACGTTTGATATTTGTTCTGATATTTTTGTTCAGTTCTGTATTGGTCTTGTAAATTTCTATCGATTTGCCGAAAAAATTATTTTTTTACCATAATGCCAAAAAGATTTCTGTTTCGCACTCCCGACAGCTGAGTAACGGGTATCTGATAGTTAAGGAACTCGACTATTGCGTTGCCTCTTGTTTTAAAATCATAGCAATAAAAGCATCTGACAAAAATAAAAATCATTCGTATTAATTCCGTTCAGCCATAAACAAAGGCAGAAGTTTTTCTGTTCATGGCGAGAAACACTTAAAATGTAATGATCATTGAACTGATCAAACAATTCCATGTTGTAGAAAACTCGAGTAGCCCACCCTTGTCCCGGGTGTAGATCGCTGATATCGTCGGTACTAGAGAATGTGAGTTAAGGCTTTGAAGTTCCATGTCGGACATCAACCCAAACAACAATGTGTAACCAGTTGTAGGAGTAAAGAACTGAGTTCTTTGCCGGAATTCAAAATACAAACAAAGCAAAACCAAAGGCACTAGAATAATAAGATGCGTAACGGCACTATGCACTTTTTGCCACTTTTTGGTGGCGGCAGTAATTAAACAAAAAAGTTGTGCTAGAGACGATTTTCGGTCCGAAATCAATTTTGATCTAAGAAACGAATTTGATTAATGTTTTGGTCAATTTCGTTGTAATATGAGCTAAATATTATTTAAAAATTGATGCCGTGAGTATTATTTTTTTTTAAGAAGTTCTTTCGTTAATATCGCCGCTCGAATTAGCTACAGTTTACATATAAATATTTTTATTATTAATTATTAATAATTATATATGTATTTTTTGGTACCCAGGGAACACAACGGGGAGGACATTACAATTGTAATGGGGTCGTATATTTATATAACCTTCGAGTCGACTTGAAATAATAAATGTTAAACATAAAATATTTCCATGTTCCCCAACTAAGCTAGTTTTTTAACTATTGCTTTTCGATATCCTTTTTTTAATTCATTTTATTAAATTTTTGTACTATATATATATATACATATATATTATATGTATATATTTATTTTTAGTCGTCACTAATTTTTCATATTTGAGATAGAATGCTGAGTTTTGCTTGCTTTTTTTGTTTATCAGCTGTCACAGTCCACTTGCAATGCTTAAAAAGTAAAACTTTTATAATTTTGTATGTATGTATGTATGTATGTATGTATACATGTATGTATGTATGTATGTATGTAGGTATGTATGTAGGTAGGTAGGTAGGTATGTAGTGTACATATATTATGTGTTACTTGCACAAAGTAGTAAAAATTGTCTTAATTAAAGCCTGAAGAATGTTTAACTTACTGTCGGAACACATAGTTATTGCCGCTTTTAATGCTTAGGAAAAATATTGTCTTGTAGCCCTATAATTCCCAACTAGTTCTAGTGAAGACTGTAAGGCATGTCTTCTAATTTAGTCGCAAAATATTTCAAGTAATCTGTCTTACCGGTCGAGCAGTGAGTGTAGAGTATGTACCGGTGTATGTATGTATGTATGTATTTATGTATGTATTTATGTATGTATGTATGTATGTATGTATGTATGTATGTATGTATGTATGTATGTATGTATGTATGTATGTATGTATGTATGTATGTATGTATGTATGTATGTATGTATGTATGTATGTATGTATGTATGTATGTATGTATGTATGTATGTATGTATGTATGTATGTATGTATGTATGTATGTATGTATGTATGTATGTATGTATGTATGTATGTATGTATGTATGTATGTATGTATGTATGTATGTATGTATGTATGTATGTAGTGTATGTGTTACTTGCACAAAGTAGTAAAAATTGTCTCAATTAAAGCCTGAAGAATGCTTAACTTACTGTCGGAACACATAGTTATTGCCGCTTTTAATATTTGTTTAGGAAACATATTTTCTTGTAGCCCTATAATTCCCAACTAGTTCTAGTGAAGACTGTAAGGCATGTCTTCTAATTTATATATATATTTATATATTTATTCATAAAAAATATTTAAAATACAATATAAAATTACTGTAAAGAAATTGATTAACCTCACTGAAAGGGATATATATTTTTATGTTTATTCGTATACAAAGTGCTACTACATTAATCTCGAGCTGTAAGTAATTAAATAATAAACTATTATTTTGCCATAATTCTATTAGTGAGTGAAATAGTGAGGTCTTTAAAGTGAGTAGTAAAAATTGCCTTAAATAAAGCCTATAAAATGCCCGAAACGTATTTGAAACGCATTGGCACAATGGCAACGTATAAATCAAAATCTGTCCTGTTTTTTATCCTTTTTTGAAATTTTCAGCCTATTTTTTCCGTTTTTTTTTTCTCAATCTGTCTCAATCAAGCTCAAGAGAGCTGCTGGCTCTAGAGCGCTCTCTCTCTCTGGCACTTGAACAAAAATTAGAGGGAGCCTGGAGCCAGCCCGAAAAAATCGTGTGCAAAAAAATCGTCTTATTATTCTAGCGTCTTTGGCAAAACTCACAATAAGGTATAATAAATGGGAACCATAACGACCCTAAAACACGCCTTGTGTGCCGTTTTATGAATGGTAAACGCTGATGTGATTTGATTTGATGGCATTTGTAATTGCAATTATAGTCATTGGGTGTGTGGCTTCGGAAGGTTTCTTATCGGGACTCGATGACAACTTCTGCGCCTTGCATCGATGATATCTCCTTATCTCCGATCTGACGATCGCCCGATCGCAGGGCCAGGTCCGGAGACCCAAATGCCGAGTGCCAATCAGTTTTGGATGGCCCATGGAACCAGGCAGACATGAGCGCAGGAGACTACGAAAGCAGTGACTACTTCATGCGCAGTCGGTGGGTCCGTCCCCAATCGGGATATGATGTCAGCGATAACCAGTGCTTCCGACTGCTTCCAGGAAGAATCGGGAGAAGCCGTCGCTATGGGATTCCTTCCAGGACCCGCCGTCCAAGAAGACGAGCGGCTCCGATGCCGACTGGAGGAAGCTCCAGTTCTGCCTTAAGCTCTTCAAGCTCTGCATCTACCTCCTTGTCTTCGCGGTTGTTCTGGCCACCAGCGTGTTCGCCAAGTTGGCTTATCTCTACATGGCCGGAAATACAGGTGGCACCGGGCCACGAGTGCAAGTGTGCAGCAAGTATCGTGAGTAAAGTTCAGCTACTTGTTTGTTTCCCTTTTCTACCGCGCTTCCTTCCCCTCCTAGTTCTCCGCCACGGCCAGGTGGAGGCGGCACCCAGCGAGCTGGACCAAATCGCTTGGGTCTGGGCCCTGATCTTCGCCTTTGCCGCCCCCGAGCTGTTCACCTTCCTGCGCGCCCTGCGCATCTGCATGTTCAAGCGCGAGCAGCGACCCAGCGGACTGGAAGTGGGACTGGTGGGTATTTTGCTGGGGGGTACAGATTTAGTAGGGTGGCACGATTTGAGGGACATGTGTTTGCTTGCGTTCGAGGAAAATCGCTTAGCTCATTTGCTGGATGAACACATTTTTCAATTAATCTTGTTTTACATGAATAAAATTTTAATGTCAAATAGTTCCAGTCGAACTATAGTGTTCAGCTGAAAGAAGCAGTCTTGTCGATGCAGACAAAGACAATCATTCGTTTGATAAAAGAAATAGCTCAGCAGTCTTAAATCGTTGCGCACATTCAAGTTCAGTATATCAGCGCTTAACAATTAAGCTGAAAATGTCACTAGATTTAAGAACCACAAGTGACGGTAGCCCCTCAAATGGCACCACCCACCCTAACCCGGACGGAGATTGATTGATAAGCCCCCGCCAATCAGGTCACGCTCTTTGAACTCCTGCACGTCGTGGGCCTGGCCCTGCTCACCTTCACCGTGCTGCCGGCCCTGGATGTGACGCGTGGAGCGATTCTGGGCTGCTGCGTCTGCTTTGTGCCCGCCCTGCTTAGTAAGTTCCTAAGTGCCCCTCCCGCCCGACCGGAGCCCCCAGATGTTATCGGTGCCTCGGCACCGACTGACAACAATTAAATTGATTGCCCCGGCTGCTTACGTTTCAGACTTGCTGACGGGAACGCGGGTGCACTGGAGGTCGGCGGACAGTCTGGTCCTCGGGCTCTCCATCCTGGCCCTGGTGGCGCAGGGCAGCGTCTTCCTGGTCTGGCCCTCGCTGAGCGACAGTCTGGAGGTCCAGCTGCTGGCCATTCCGCTGCTCCTCATCTCGTTTCGCTGGTGGGAGAACTTCGCCAACACTCACGAGGCCATCGGTATGTGTTTGCTCAATGACTATTTCCCGACAATACTTCTGTAGATACATATAATATATACTCGTGCTGGGCCCTCGTCGTTTTCAAAGTCGCTTTATGAGATATCACTCAACGACTTGGAATAATTTACTTTACTTATAATGATTATAATGGTTGGAAATTACACTTATTTTCAACATACAGTGTCAATTCAAAGTAAGTTGTTGCAAATCCACTGCGTTCGGGTTTTAATTAGTTTGCGCTATCGTGAAGTGCTATTTTTTCCTCTATTAATTAATATTATATATTAAGATCCATATTAAAGAAAGTATATGGAAAATCATACCGCCATGCTTATATGAAGACTTTTTAAATTAGTTGGAGGAGTAATGGGTATCTGATAATTATTATAAGATTATTAGATTATTATTATCAGATTATTATAATAATTAATTCCTTAATGTTTATAGTAACTTTCTTGCTTGTGATTTCAGTATTTTGCTATAGTGTTCATTAAAAAATATCATACAAAACTTAAAAATTGAATTGAATTTAATTGAACTTAACTGAAAATGTTATGTTTATTTTAGTATGAAAAAATTATGGCTTGACGCACGGAATGTGTAATACAACTAAATCAAAGGAAACAAAGTGCATTAGGACCTGTTCGGGGATTTCTAAGTGTGAAAGTACTGATTCCTCATCCCTTCTTCCTCCGGCAGCCTACATCATCCGCACAATCCGCTGTACCCGATCCCGATACCACACTTACCTCTACCTGGCGCCTTTGAAGGTCGTGGTTTTCGCGGGAATGGGCTTTATCCTGCACGGCCAGGAATTCGTGGAGTACTTCAGTCTGTTCCGGGATGCCTGGCGGCCGCATCTCATTACGCTGGTGGTAAGTGCAGTCCAGCCATCAGGGCTCGAGGTTACCTCTCATTTTAAAACAGAAAAAAATTAAGCCTAGAAAATATCGATTAGTTTTAAAGGTGGTAGTAAATACTTAGTTCTTATAGCTATTTAACTATTTATATTTAAATATTTGTACTTAATATTCTTCGAAGAAATATTTAAGTCCTGAAAAAGATTTTTTGAAACAATATTAAATCGAAAATCAAGGTCTTAGAATTCCAAATTATTTATTATTCCTATGTAAATTTGATTAAAACGTAGCTTTCCGCTTAATGCGGCATTTCCTTACCCTCTTTTTCCTACCATCAATTTTCTTTAAGTATATTTACAATTGTAATATCGGTTGTAAGGAAAGTAAAGGGCGGAGGTATACATTTACATTGCTTTCCGTATTTTACGCCTCCCACTTTCTGTGAACTTTCAGCAGTCTGGTGGTGACCCCGATGCGCTGCTTTCAGCACAGGCGAACCTATCAATCACAGCCCCTCCACTCAGGACGCAGTTCACCATGCAGTCCAGTCCGAATGCGGTGTTCTACGCATTGGGGGCCCAGGTGGGCGCGGCGTACCTGTGCCACGTGTTCGGTAAGTTCGCCTGCAAAATCAAGATCCAGAAGTTCAGCTACGCGCTGCCCCTCAGCCTGGCAGGACCCGTCTCCGTCTGCCTGGCCACCTTTCTGGCCCAGCTGCGGGCCTCGGACCCGTGCTCCCTGCACGGCCTCCTGCCGGACTATCTCTCGGTCCTGGCACTGGGCCGGAGTGTGGATGAGCTGGGCCAGAGATGCCTCGACTACGCGCTCTGGCTGTGGCCGCTGTGGTGGCTGGCCCAGGTCTGGACCTGCCTGCACATCTGGCAGCCTCACAACGACAGGAACGCCCCGACCGAGAAGCTATTCGTGTGTCCCTGGTATTGCGGCCTGCTGGTGGACCAGTGCGCGATGATGAACCGGCGGATCGTGGACTGGAGCGAGGAGTACTTGGCCATCAAGGTGAGCGGGGGTCGCCTGCAGAAATAAGTGCGCCAAATCAGATGCGAGTCAAGTTGAGTTCGTGTTAATGAATTATTGTAATCAGGCGCCTGCCTGGCATCAATCATCTCGCCAAGTTCGCAGCATCCTGCAGCTCTTGTGCCAATCCGCGCGCCCACATCCATTTTTGGCTATTCCGGCGGATGGGGCGGTGTGGCGGAGGGGCGGAGGGACGAAGGAGGACTGCCGGCACTACTGATGTGCGCTTCAAATGTCAGGCAATGTAATTAAGTTAAATGACGGGGAAACTGCAAAGTTCAGGAAATGTTTGCGTTTCTCCCTTTTGGGGAAGGGGCACGGCTGGGATGCCAGTGCTGGGATGGGTTTTCGGTGGGTGTAAACTTAATTAAAAGTGCTTCAGCTCCACTCGCATGTTTTCGGGGCCTACCCAGCATAAAGACATTAAAGTAATTAAAATCAGGGCATACGAGTGGATTTTAAAAACATAATTTAGGGACACGCGAATTATGTGCATTCGTAATAACCTTGCCACATTAGGCGGGCTGAACCGACCTTTAAGTCCCTAAAATCCGTGAAATATTAATAAAAACTAGTCAGAAATTCATTCTAGTCAGAATTAATCTGCTGCATTGCATACCAAATGCAGTTGTCTTCTGTTGCCAAATGGGAGAGCATTTCGTGCTCTTGAGGCTCCGCAGATACCGCATTGGGGTTTTCAAATACCCACTTGTTATGCACAGCAATCATTCGGAGCTTAAACTAAACCCACCTGTATCTGTTTCTCCGGCAGAGCGACCTAACCGCGCCGAGGGATCCTGTGGTGGCTCTGGCAGCCGACATCAATGCCAGCCGGGACATCCTAGAGGAGGACAAGGTGCCGCAGCTGATAGTGTGCGCCACCATGTGGCACGAGACCGAGGACGAGCTGATGGAGTTCCTCAAGTCAATTGTCCGCTTGGATGAGGATCAATGCGCCCGCCGCATGGCCAGGACCCACCTCAACGGCGGCAAGGCGGACGACGAGTACTATGAATTGGAAAGTATGTAAATGGGCCAAACTTTGCGGGTGAAGATGCTGATGCTGCTGCTGCTGCTGCTGCTGCTGCCGCTGTTACTGATGCAGACTCAGCTGGTGTCGTCTCCAGTCCTCACTGGCAACATTTGCATTGTGCATTTGAAATGTGTCAAAGTGGGAATTTATTCAGCTCGGCACTCTGTTTGCAGCTCCATTTATAGAGCTTGGCGACTTCATTTCCGCGCTTGCCAAAATGGCTTTAAGCCAAGAATCGGCAACTGTCTGCGCCAACTTTACGATCTCCGCAATGCCGCCCCCACGACGAGAATGAATGGGCTTAAATTTCTTGAAGTTCATTCAAATCTTTAATAGATCGTACTTAACAGATTATACCTCGACAATTGAATTCACTTTCGGGGAATAAGTTGAACAAGAAAACTCTAAAACACTTCTTTACTTTTGCACAGAGTATATTAATTTCAATCAGAAGTTTGCATCTTAGTAATAAAGGCATATAGTGTATACAGGTATATATTCATAATTAGTATCAACAGCCGAGTTGATATAGCCACGTTCTTCCTTATGTCTTACGCTATATAGTCTTTAAGTTTCAAAGCTATCTGCATTAAACTTTCCCAAAAGTCTTCGTTCTATAGCAGGTAGACATCATATCATTACTATATCTATCATACTACATCATATCATATATCATTCATAGTTTCTCTTGGTCAGGACATGTCCTAGCTGCCTTAGGAGCATTCGAACATTAATTGAAAACAAGAGAGAACTCTATAGTCGAGTTACCTGGCCATCAGATACCCTTTACTCAGCTAGTGAAAGTGCGATCGAGAATTTTCATAATTTTCTGGATCACCGGTAGAAATTGCGAAAAAAAATATGAAAATTAAAAAAAATTTCAAAGTTTTTTAAAATTTGGGCAGTGGGCTTGGCAAAAAGTTTTGTTTGCAACATCGATAGAAATTTACAAGTCTAATACAAAAATAAAAAAAATATCAAAACATTTTTTAAAGGTGTGGGCGTGCCAGTCTTGGGAGGTTTGTGGGCGTAGAGTGGGCGTGGAAAAAAGTTTTTTAGGAAATCAATAAATTTACAAGACTAATAACAAAATGAAAACTATCCCAACATTTTTCAAAAGTGTGGGCGTGGCAGTTTTTCGCGTTTTGTGGGCGTTAGAGTGGGCGTGGAAACAGCATTTAACAAACTTGCGCTGCGTCTGGAATCTGCATACCTAATCTCAACTTTCTAGCTTTCATAGTTCCTTAGATCTCGACAATCATACGGACGGACAGACAGATGGACATGGTCAGATCGACTCGACTATTGATCCTGATCAAGAATATATACACTTTATACACTCGGAAACGCTTTCTTCTACCAGTTACATACTTTTCAACGAACGCCACATTTTAGGAGAGCGCCATAGTCGAGTGCCCCGACTATTAGATACTTGTTACTCAACTAGTAATTCTAGATCATAATAATTTCAAGATCATCTCGCATATATATAGAAACTGGGGAAAAATAAAAAAAAAAGGAAACAAATTACAGCAGTGAATGGATGTTTAAACTTTTTTATTTTCCATTTTTTTCATAGCCAACATCTTCTTCGACGATGCATTCGTTTCGGATCCGCGGCAGTGCCAGAACAAGCGTAACCCACCCATCAACGAGTACGTGAAGACCCTGATCCGAACCATCGACAAGGCCGCCTTTGAGGTCTACGGAGTGAACATCCGCATAAAAGCCCCTCTGAAGATCGAGACTCCCTACGGGGGCCGCTTGGTGTGGACGCTGCCAGGACGCACCAAAATGGTGGCCCACTTGAAGAACAAGGACAAGATCCGGCACAAGAAGCGCTGGTCGCAGGTCATGTACATGTACTATCTGCTGGGATATCGGATCATGGAGACGAAGCAGCTGTCGCCCCGTCGAAAGGCGGTTATTGCAGAGAACACCTTTATCTTGGCCCTGGACGGAGATATAGACTTCCAGCCACGGGCTGTGCAGCTGCTGATCGACCGGATGAAGGCGGTGGACGAGCTTGGAGCTGCCTGCGGTCGGATTCACCCGGTGGGAAGGGGTCCGATGGTGTGGTACCAGAGATTCGAGTACGCCATTGGACACTGGCTGCAAAAGGCGACGGAGCATGTGATCGGTTGCGTGCTCTGCAGTCCGGGATGCTTCAGTCTGTTCCGGGCCAGCGCACTGATGGAGAACAGCGTGATGAAGCGGTACACGATGATCAGCTCGGAGGCGATGAAGATGGTGCAGTACGACCAGGGAGAGGACCGCTGGCTGTGCACTCTGCTCCTGAAGGCCGGCTCCCGGGTGGAGTACTGCGCCGCCTCGGATGCGTATACCCACGCGCCCGAGAGCTTTAACGAGTTCTACAACCAGCGGCGTCGTTGGGTGCCCTCCACCATAGCTAACATCTTCGATATCCTGGCGGATGCAGACACTGTGGTGAAGAAGAACAACTCCATATCAACCATGTACGTGTGGTACCAGGGAATGCTGATGATTGGAACCGTGCTGGGACCGGGCACCATATTCCTCATGATGGTGGGCGCCTTGGTGGCCGTCTTTTCCATTGACATCTGGACCGCTTTCCTCTGGAATTTCTTTCCCATTATCTCCTTCATTCTGGCCTGTGTCTACCTCAAACAGAAGATTCAACTGCTGATAGCGTTCGTCATAAGCTCTATTTACTGCCTGGTCATGATGGCAGTCCTCATCGGCATCATTGTCCAGATGCTGGAGGACGGGCCACTGGCTCCTGCATCGCTGTTCTTTCTGCTCGTAGCTGTCCAGATCACAATTGCAGGTGAGTCATATACATTGGTATACTCGTTACTCGTAGAGTAAAGGGTATACACGGTTCGTTGAAAAGTATGTACCAGGCAGAGGAAACGTTCCGACCATATAAGGTATATATATTCTTGATCAGGATCAATAGTCGAGTCGATCTGACTAAAAAATGAAGAAATGTCTCGTACGCAAATCCGCTAAAGCTTTAATAATATTTTAGCAGTATTCTTTGTTCTATACAACTTTCTAAAATTAATAATGTTTACAAATCGTAGTACGAGGAAACTGGCTAGTAGAACTCGAAGACCTTAATTCCAACTGCCGTTTCTCGATCTTCCAGGCTTCATGCATCCGCAGGAGTTCTGGGCATTGCTGTGCGGGGTTATCTACTACATCACAATCCCCTCCATGTACATGCTCCTCATGATCTTTTCTGTGTTCAACATGAACGACGTTTCGTGGGGCACTCGAGAGGCGCCAGTGCTCAAGGACGACGGCAAGGACGCAGAAGAAGAAGCAGATAACTACCTGCCAGGCTGGCTGAATGATCCGCTGTTGATAGACTCGGAGCTGGGCGAAGTGTCGCTGATGGAGCAGAGATTCTGGAAGGATCTGATCAAGCTGTATCTGAAGCCACTGGAACTGAGCAGGGAGCAGAAGCAGGCAATGGCCGACGGACTTAAGGAGCTGAGAAACATGATCGCTTTTGCCTTTGTGATGGTGAATGCGATCTTTGTGCTCATTGTGTTCCTGCTGCAGTTGAAAAAGGAGTTCCTGCACCTCAAGTGGCCCATTGATCCCACAGACTTTGTGTCCTTCGACAGGGACAACCTGATGGTTGGCATCTACAGACAGTACAAAGAACTGGATCCAATTGGCCTGTGCTTTGTGATTTTCTTTGGACTGATCCTGATCATCCAGTTCCTGGCGATGTTCTTCCACCGCTTCGCTACGCTCTGCCAGCTGCTGGCCACCACCCAGGTGGACTGGTTCCGAACCGGAGGACAGTTTACTGACGAGGATGCCGCCACCGAGCTGAAGGGCAGTGCTGTCAGTATAGCCCGGAAGTTGCAGCGACCCAAGAGGCTCTTCGACGATGAGGACGCGGACCCCCACTACGACGAGGTATTGACGGATTCCCTGGAAGGGGAGCACATGGAGAGCATGGTGCGCCGGCAGACGATCTTTCGGCTGCACGAGACCCGGGACAAGCAGCACAGCGACTACAGCAATCTGGTGGCCAACTTCGAACGCCGTTTCTTGGGAGACGATGAGCTGAACCTCAAGAATCTGGCGCTCAACCGGAAGTCAGTGAAGCTCCTGCAGGCACGTCGCTCAGCGGCCAAGGTCAATGCAGCGGCCACGCCCGAGGGCACGCCCACTCCGAAGGCTGGCAAGCGTCCGCCTCTGATGCCGATGGCCAAGAAGGTGAGCTTCACGGCCTCGAACCAGAACAGTATGGCCATCTACGACAACGGCGGGTACGAGCACACCGAGTTCTAGGAAGGTCAAGCAGATGAGCTACTTGGGAAACCAGAGAATCTTGTAAAGTGCTTATGTCTGGGTAGTATCTCTAAACATTATTCGCGAATAGAGTGTCTAGCTTACATTTCTTATCCGTACATACCCACATTAATCAATACCCTAATTAATATGTATTATACGGTTCAAAGCCATCAAAACACCCCTTATATTTGCATATCATTATGCGATTATATAATCGAATCCCCAAGTTCCTTGGTGGCATAAAAAATATAATTAATTGCATTTAACTCAAGTGGCAGAGGCAGCCAAGTCTACTTCCCTTCTAACTGAAGACATCTCATTAGCATAATTACCAGATGCAGTCGACGGCAACGCAGGGGGGCGGGGGAGGAGCAGGGCGGAGCAGGGCGGAGGAGGGGCTACTTCATTCATCAATGTCGGGGCAACGCTTAGAGTTAAGTGCTCGTGGTGGCGATGCGCTTTTTGCTCGGAAAGTTCTTGCTCCTCTTCGTTACAAAATGCAAATCAAAGTGTGATTAGCTTGGATTTGATGAAGTTTCTTCAGCAATGCTGAAGTTCCCTCGCCGCGCCCTTCCGTGCTGGTGTGTGTGTGCAGCGGGGCGTGGCAAGGTGTCAGCGTAAGTGTTTTGTAAGTGAATTTTTCACTGCCTGCGCAAAAAGGCGCAAAGGGGCAGGCGAGAGATGAGTCCTTTCCCAAAGGACTGGCAGGACCTACTTTTGCGATGCGCATACATTAGAGGTGGAACGCAGGACGGGAGGAGCCAGGAGCCTTGGCCTTGCTAAGTGCAGAAGCCCAAGATTACCGGGCTCGAATGCACGGCGAAGCACACGGCTAAGTAATGAATTCGGCTGGTCAAACGGTAGGTAGAATCGATTCGATGGCGCACCGATATTCATGAGGTTGGGCACAACTTTCTGGCTACCTAGCAGTTGCCGATTACTGTGCTTCAGAGCCGGATCTCGGGAGTCATTTAATTGAGAAACTCTTTCAGTTGCAACAACCAGATATTTACATATTAATTTAAAACAACTCTAGAGTTCAATAGTGAGCTTTAGTATGCACAGTGGCAAACAAAGGCTGAAAAAAGTAGTAGAAGAAGGAAGGTAGTAGAAGAAACTGAATGATATCATTTCGCTGTATGATAACAGCTATTCCTAGCATGCCTGTGGCCAACTGGGCGTATGCGTGATATTCTCGCCCTCTTACTCGCTGCGAAGCACATAAATGGATACGTTGGGTCGTTGGGCAACAAACACAACCCATGTCCAGTCATAAACAATGCCACAATTCGATTGAAAAACTTGCGCCAGTTTTTATGGGGTTGAAGACATAATTTAGCACTTATCTGGCCCCAGGCAGCCCTACCCAAAACAATCCAGAGCACTAACCCGCCCTCCAGAAGCCTGTTGCCATTTGGCATTGTGCTTTATGGCTTTTCCCTACATTGCAATGGCAATCGAGGACAATGCACAGGACACGGGAAACAGCACAGGACTGGACACAACTATGCAGGGCCTGCACAAAGCTGCAACAAACTTTTTAAGTCACTTAATTATGAAAATAATTATGCGTTCGGGTGTCAGCAGGGCCTTTTGTCCAGACTGTTAGAAGAGCCAGCATTTCACAGGTCATCTGACAGTCGTTTCACTTATTACTGGTGCTATTATTAAATTAAATAATAATGCAGGTTGGTTGCAACTCTGTGTCTGTCAATTTGCGGGCACAAGGTCAATGGCTTTTCATCGAAGTAAGCAAGTTGACATTTCCAGCAGTTAATTAATATTTGTATCGCCTGTTTATTATGAGTATTTTTTCAGCGGTGGAGCTTCGCTCGAGTGGCAGAGATATTTGATTTTTAATTCACTGTGGAAAACACCAAGGTGCGTTTCGTTGAAGTGGATGGACTGTTTCAAGGGGTTTTCGTGTGATACCTTGCCTCGTCACTAGTCAAACGCACTGCCCCAATGACCTGGCAAACACCCAGTCGCAGATAAGCCCACTTTCCGCCGCCTGCTGCACATGATAAGGCCCCTGCTCTCCCCGGTTCAATGTTTGTCCCCGTCCGAGCAGCCGGAGAGTGATAGCTGCCTGACTGATAACATTTTGGGAGAGCCCGCCGCACACCAAATTTTAATCGCAATCGCAATGAGCGCTTACAATTACACATGTTTGCCCCACATTATCTCGACCAGCGACCAAGGCGGTCAGTCCTCAGTGGAATCGCCTCAGTAGAAATCGTCGGGCTTTGCGGTGCGGTTCCGAGCGCGTTCCGTGATTTGTAATAGCTCCTTAACAATACCTCCCCTCCAACTCGATTCCCAGAATGCTGCGAAACAGTTTCCACCTGGCCCAGAGCCTCCGAAACGGCTTTTCCAGAATCGCCTGGCGGGCGGTCAGCTCCCACGGACCCCGGCAGCCAGTGAGTGAGGTTTATATAACCGCAGTGCGAAGACAGTGATTTCACGATCGAATACCACGTCTGGTGCCAATGGAAAAGTTCTTGAATGCAAAGTCCGTCTCGGTGTTGTGGTGGTGTGAATGGACCTTTGGATGATCATCAATCCTTATCAGTTCTTTGTGCTTAGGTCAGGAGAATAATATGTTCAGCGAAATCGGTTGGAAAATGGAGTGGTTCGGAGTGGGAGTCGTTGTGGACATAGCCAATTGATAGGACTGTTTATTTTCAGTCTTCAGTCTCAGCTTACAACAAAAGGAAAATCCCATCATCAGAATCGCTGCATATAAAGGGAAAGAGTTAATGATCTGATCAAATAGATAATTGTTCTTCCCTACTAAACACACTATAAGAACACACACATCTGAACACACAAAGAACACTTTATATAAGCTATTAAAAAATTGACAGTATATTGAGCGATAAGGTCGATTAATGTACATTTCAGCGAAGAAATTTATGACAGCCCGAGTCATGACGACTGAACGTGATGCCATTGTCATGGGGCTTCTGGCTGCCCAGATACACAAAACCTCACGGAACTTCAGTGATGAGGAGCAAAAAGGGGCCCTTCCCAGTCTAGTGCTTTGTTTTGGTTGCATAAGCTCTCAACAGCTTCTGCTGGTTGAGGGATACCTATGCCTCCCTGCTTGCCCCTGAAAATTTTCCCTGGCACTTGTGTCTAATCAGAGCCCAATACTCACTATCGTGCGATTTTACTTTGGTTGTTTATGGTCGACCGACGACAGCTTGAGAGGGTATTGGAGTAACCCTAAACCCGACCATAAAATCGGGCAAATGAGCCATCGAAAGCGGGGAGTCAGGCTAATTGAATGAGCATTGGGCGAAGGACTCCCACTCATCGGAGCATTAAATCATTTACAGTTTCGGTTTGATTTCCACTGACATGAAAACCGGGCGAAGGTCGAGTTGTGGGGAGTGGGAAAAGTGCCCGACAAGCTGGTAAAATGTTGTCACAGCTTGACAGCTGTGGGTCAGCAAATGCAAAAACGTGTTCAAATAAATTCTAAAAGTGTAAATATTGTATTTGCTCACAACAAGAGCGTAAAAAGGGAAATCAGCAGTTGGGTGGCTGGCCTCACAATAAACTTAAAGCCCCTTTAAATATGCAACAACTCTGCTGAGCCTTGCCCTCAGGCAAGGACTGTGAGTGTGTCCTGCCTCCGGGCTCCTCCGGGCTCCTTCCCCACACGCCGCATATGGCATATGCATGTGTCCGACATCAGGCCCAGCCTTTGACTCTGGAAACGATTTGCCTAGGTCAGGGTCGTGGAGCCCCCCTTTGCCACACAGACACCCGCCCAACCCACTCCATTCCACACCATTCCCATGTGGCGCCACCTCCCGGTGGACTCACTTCATTTTGACACGTGTTGGCAGTTATGGCGCCTATGGTCCTGGTCTCGACTCTTTTCAAGCTGTGCGTGTGTGGGGCACATCATAAAAAGTCTGCCGAAGCGGGCGAGCTACCTTAGCCCGGCTATGAGATACCCTGCACTCGATGTTAGACTGAAAAAAATCGTTCTGTCGGTGTCCCGACTGGCAGTTCTGCCAGCTCATCCAAACACAAGGGCACATATTTCAAAAAGTGTTCCATTTGATGTAGCTCTTATTTGACCAGGAACAAAAGTGTTTTTATAATAGACTTCAGATACTCACTAAGAATGCCAAAGCATTCTCTCTGCATTTGCACTCACTTGGCATACCCGTTTGCACAACATTTATTGGGTATAAAAATCGCTTAGGAGCATTTCCTCAAAATCCAGTTAGAAATAACGGGCACATTAGGTTAAATGAATGCCCAATGCATTTGGCAATGTACCGATTCCAAAGAATGAAGTCTTTATTGGGGGTCCACCCCGCTGTACTTTATTACCCATTAGTGAGCTGTACTTCCAGGACTGTGAAGGCACATAAACCACAATTATTATTTACATTGCAGGGCAATTAATGGTAATATTATAACTAAATGAGGAACAGGGCCTAACCTTTTACTTCAACAAAAATAATGGGCAAAGTTTATATTTTTGTGCTGCGTTGACATCAGGCAAGTCTATAGGCTTAGCCTCAAGGCTTTTCGCATTGTATCTCGCAAAACCTGCATACTCTTTGGGTAATGGGTATGAAAATATAGTCCGTTTCACTTGCCATTGGTCAGTACTAGTAGTTTTAAATAACTCAAAACTTTCGCGTTACTATTCCGCTGTAGTATAAGTGCTCTCGCTCCCAATACACCCTTCTTCTTTTCGAGTACCAGGTATAGGCAAAACAAAAAACGCCGTGTAAACATGGAGCACTGGGGAACATGCGTGTAGCCCCTCAGAAGTGGCAGCCCGAAAGGGGCGACATCATGTCAGGGGATCCACTAACATCATTGCCGAACATCTGTCGAGGGCTGCGAGAGATCGGGAAGGTTGGGCCGGACTGTAGATAAGTGTGAAGCCCGCGAGGAGCCACAACTCAGCACGAGTGTGTGGCAGAAGCAGCCATAATTGCTCAGTAATTATACGGACTGTCATCGCATTTGACAGGCCTCAGACACGGGAGAGGGGGGGCAGAAGATGGGGCAGTGGATTCCGGTCACTATCTGCACTGCGATTAGAAAACAATCGAACTGGGAGCTGAGTTCCGAGGCCCGAGGCGACTCCCGTCCTTCGACTAATTGCATTCGGTATCGCGTATACGCCATGAGAGCCGGCGGAACAAAATTGGTTCCAGCGGTGCTTTTCAGCCAGACGCAGTCGTAAAATTTATTGGTCGCTGGGCTGTGGGATTTCTTTGCGATAGTGAT